CCTCAAGAAGGTATTGTAATGCCCAATATACAGCCCTATCTGAGCATCCCTCAATATTCAGGTGAGAATGGCCAGTGCCATGAATTGGGTCTCTGCAACATCTTGTAGGCTTTTATCTGGAAATTACCCATTGGAGGAGTGTGAGAAGACAGGGAGCACCTATTCAGTTCAAATTCAGTCAAAGCATTTGGATTTCACTTGGTTCAAATTCTACATGGAGAAGGGAAGAAAAAGGCAGAAAAAGCAGGGAGCTAGCAGAAAAAGAAAAAAAACAAACCTACAAATACATTAATGATACCGTCCTAAATCAAGTGCTGATATGATGTTGAAGCAACAAATGTGTTTCAAAAACCAATTAGTAAGATTGGAAATATTTTTCCATAAACTACTGAGAAGTACTCAGTGCTTGTCTTCAATGACAGTTGCACATCAACTGCAACATTTTAATCCCTGTCCAGGCAGTATAGAAAAGAAACACCAAACTAACAAAACAACCACCCCATGACTCCAATCCAAACAAACAAAAAAGTGGGTTGCAGATTAGCTCTCCGTCTACATAGGAGATGATTTTAGGATTTTCCACTATGCCATAACTCTAAACAACTGATCTATTTTTTAACTCAGCATTGCAAAACACACACACAAAAGTCTCAGTAATTTACAGCTGCAAACAGGATTTAAGGGAAATCTTTACGCAGCTCAAACTCTTCGATCATTACTGGTTCTTTTAGCATTTTGACTGTTTTTGCCTATGAAAACAAACTCTGAAAAGAGTAAAAACCCAAACAGATTAAATGACTAAGAAGTCAACTCAAGGTAATGTACATATTTTCACTGAAAAGCATCTGCTGCAAGGTATCTTGTTGCAAGTTGGGCATTGATGCATCCTTGCATTCAGAAGTAGCTCCCACCATGGACCCAGCAAGGATCAGCACTGAGGCAGGGAAAAAGTAGGCCTGATGTAGCTTTTCAAATTGATGCTGCTTGTGGAGAGGAACAAACAGCTCGTCTCCAACTGAGGGGCTGACTCTCGTCATTTATTCATGGCCAGCCCCCTGCTTGGATGGAAATAAAACTGTTTCAAAGATGACTGTGTGGGGGAGCTGGAGGACAGCTTGGAGGCACACTGAGGTTAGCACATTAATTTTTTATCTCTGGAGACCGGGTATCCAATTATGCTTAGAGTACACAAACAACTTTGGCTGGTCTCTCCAGTAGAGATTTACCCACATAATAAAATCTGTGATGGAACTGGCACAACAGGCTGATGCCATGAAATAATGTACACAGGCAGTTTTGCAGGGCAGATGCTTAAGCTAGCAGAGGGGCAGGAGGGCATAGGAATGCATCCTCCTTAACTATATGTATGGCACAGTGGATCAACCTACACTCAGCACAATGTACTTCATTTAGGATTGTCATTGGCCAAAGTGCTTGTGGGCATAAGATCCTGTTCAGTTGCTGTTTCTGCAGAGCTGCCTGCAACCAACATTTCACACAGCAAAATGCCACTGAAAACTCTTCTCCTTTAAAGGAAAGGAAGTTTTTCTCCATGTAGACACACTATCCTATTCTCCCAGGAATTAAGAAAGAGCATTTATACTATTATACTCATTCACAGAGACATTTCAATATATAGAAGTCTTGTGTAATTCCTGTATCAGAAGTGCCTCAAAATTTGTGAGCACCAGCTGCCCCCAGAGCTGGCCTGTACCCATGGAGAGAGATGGAATAAAACAGCAGGTGTTTTGTGGCAGGCTTGGATGCACCCTGGGCTCACAAATCTCACGGTCTCGGTGCCAACATGTAGAGGAAAAGCCACCAGAGAAAAAGTCTGAAAATGGTGTGGGATAATTTATTTTTTCAGTGGAGTTGAGGAAATGGAAAGTTGACTTTTAAAAGGGTTTTTTTAAATTTCCTTTTCAGAGTTCAATACTCAGGTAAAAAAATCAGAGAGTAGATCAGAAATAAATGTTTGTACAGGCAGAGGCAAGACTAGACACTGAGGAAAGGCTATTTATTTGTGCCAAAGGGCTAGATAAAGCATAAAAAGCAAGCCACTAAAGCTCAAACAAAACACAGGTTAGGGTGTTGACTGTTGAACTATCTTTCATGTTGCAACAGATAATCTATATGTGAGAAAGAACAGAAGGAGGGAAAGGTGTAAAGAGATGTAAACAGACAAACCTTCTACACAGCCAAGGACAGTGAGATGTGCCAAGGAGGTGAGACATGAGACTTGGGCCAGTCCCAGTTCTTTGATGCACATCTATTCAATGGTCTGAGTTTTAGGTAGGTTCTTCCTATCTACATCTCTTTTCCAATCTCTGGATAATTTTCTGACCTACTCAGATTGGTCTGTACATGAAATAGAGGGGACTGAATATGCAGAAAGACAAGAGGCTTTCAGGTCTTGATCTGGACCAGTTAGGGCATCAATAGTTGAATTCTGCAGAAGCCCTGCTCCCTCCTGCATCACCAGGGCTGCTGTTACTGCAGGTTTTGCAATGAGTGGAAGCTGTAGAGGAGACATGGGTACAAAGGAAGGAAGTTCATGCTGCAGCCACCTGCCTGAACTTTACTGACCTAGTGCTCACCTCCCACGGCACAACAAATTCCTAATGGCCTGGTTTGATTTGCCTTGCCTTTTCTAAATCAGGCTGCTTGTATCTCTGACACACTGCTCAGCAAATAACCGGATCCTACTCCACACCATATCTCTAGTCCTCCTGCTCAGTGGGTTGTGGATTAGCTGTTTGGATTAACATGTCCCTGCCTTCTTTCCCTCCCTCCCTCCCACCTACCCCACCCCCCAAGCCCATGCAGAGAGGATTCTTGAAGCTCAAGACCTATGATGCTGCAGACCTGTCAAATCTAATTCATAACACATGCCTAACAGTTCTTAGGGGAGATGAAGGATCTGATGCTCTGGCTCCCCACCACCCCCTGTACAAAGGGACCATTTAATGACTGCACATTAGCAATGTGGACAATTAGCATTCACATGGAAGATAAATGGCAGCATAAATTAAATACTGCCAAGTGAAAGAGCAAAGATGCAAGATCTGAGCTCAAGGCTCTAAACAAACAGGCAAAAAAGGAACAAACATCCACTGTGACAGCTCAGCCATTTGGGACAGTTACCTTCCAGCATCTGGGACTTTCCCCAAGGCTGATCTGCACATTTTCACAGCTATTCCCCATAGCTCACTGGCTCTTGGCTGGTTATTCATTCAACTCAGGAATCTGGGCATCAGAGAGGTTTACCCCAATGATTCTAAATTTCTGCCTGTTTGTGGATCTGTGCATCAGCAGCTTCTCTTTGCCACATGTTCCGGGGGAACACAAGCCTAAGGAGCTCTCATGCTGCTCTTTCCCACAGTGTAGAATGCAACTTTTTTATCATGAGCCAAAGTCAGCTGTTCCCAACCTTACCATAGCTCTTCTAGCTCTTCTTGTTAACTTCTATAATTTCCTAAATATCAGAGACAAGGACTGAGACCCCTTGGCACCTGTGTCAAGCTGAATTCAGGGTATGGGACACTACCTTTGTTTTTTTGGGCATATATTGCAAGACCATTATCAATATTAATTCAATACAGATTTGCAATATTCCTCTCGGGTATGTAACTATTACTGACTACTGCAGGCACAGAAAAAAACAAACCAACTAACCAACTAAAAAAGCTCCAAAATGGATGTAAATGCTAAGTAAACAAAAGCTACTGGCTGAACACTGATATTCCCCTGCCTGCCCAAGCAGTCACTCTTAGTGCATTGACAGCTTAAGTTTATCAACAGCTGGAGGGGTCAAAATTACTTTTACTGCAAATCTACAAAACATGTGAGTAACTAAAAGATAGGGCATAAAAGTGACAGAAACACAGAGCTTGCCAAATGGGATCACACTAAACAGTCCTTCAAGCTCAGACAGTGGCTAGTAGCAGATGCTTTGGAGGAAGGAAACCCCCTCCCACACTTCCCTAGGGACAATTATCAATTATACTGCTTAGAAAGAAAATGTTTTCCTACTTCCATATTTCTTGCAGTTCTTAAGGTATTTTCCTGCATATTTTCCCCATTAGCATTTTATTGCTTTATTACTTTGAACTAAACACAGATCATATGCTGATCCAAAAGAACTTTCTGAAAGTGAAGAAAGCTATCTACACAAATCCCAAGGTCACAGCAAACATCACACAGTATTACACTCTGTGAAACTGAGAAACAGGGGATTAGAGACTTGCAAAAATCAGTAACAGAACACAGTATCCTTGACTTCCTGTTCTGTGCCTAAGGAGCACAGAAGGGACAGTCAAACAGGATGATGGACCTTATGCTCACACTGAGTATATGTGATTCATCACATAAAAATTCAGACCACTTAGATTTCTTTCAGTGCTGTGCCAGTGTGGGAAATTGAGGCACATTCTCCTTTCATGTTCCTGCTCTCCTCCTTGCAGATCAGTACTGATGTGTTTTCATAGCTGTTGTCAAACTATAACTAAGAAGCAGTTTTTGGCAAAGTTGAGGGTAAGCTGTTTATGCAGCAGGTGAAGGTATAAGGGAGAAAGGTGCTGTTATTTTCATACTGAAAAACTGAGACATTTACAAATATCTCTTGTTTAAAGGCAAAACAAAGGCAGCCCCCTGAAAGTACAGGATGTGTATTTCTTTGACATCTTTACTAAGAGCCACTGGGAGGCTGCTTGATGATGGGTAGGTTGGGCATCTTCTTTTCCCCCCTCTCCTTGCCACCTCCTCCCCACAGGAGCAGTAATGGAAAAGTGACTTGCTGCAGAGATAATGCTGGGTTTGAAATGAATTTCTGACTAGCTGAGCCAGCACCCGTGTGAGCTGTGGCTGATTAGCTCCAAGCATCCAGGTCCCAATCACTCACAACTGAGCTAGGCAATAACATTAGCCTCCCCAAGTCAAAGACAGGGTGGAGGTAACACCCCTGAAAAGGATCTCAAAGGCAAAGGGAAAATCCTACTCACGTTTGTGGTTTTCATTTCGGTGGACAGGGGAAGAGCGTGTCTCCTGCTCACGGGCTTCATCACCCTCTTCACTGGCGAGGTGGGTGTGAGCATAGTGGTAGCTCAGCCCAGGCCTGTTCTTGTAACGTTTGCCACAGACTGGATGGAAAGGAGATATGAGGGAGGGGAAGAGAGAATAGAAACATCAGCGTGATCTACAACCACAGCAGCATCCACTCAAATAATGCTCCCTTACCCCTGAGAATGACACCACGTACTCCATGCACCTGCCCAAAACCCTTCCAGCCAGCACTGGTGAAAGGTGACAGAGGGCAGTCCTGCAACTGCAAGTCTCCAAACATGCTTTCCTCCCACCATGCTACCAGCAGTCCTTCCCACGGGCCTAGGAAAATGCATTCAGTCCCTGAAGATCACAGAGCCCTAATCCTCACTGTTAAGATTACTAACAGGACTGCACATAAAATTAAATGAAATGCCAGTTCCAGGGGTGGGGATGCACAATGCACGGCAATGGGAACAAGACTGAGAAGAAGCGATATTATTTTCTTCATTACTTATCTCTGAAAAAACGAAACAGGTGGGATTTTTAAAAAGGCTTTCTCTAAAAGGTTAATAAATAGCTTTATTCACAGATTCCCAGTTAAGACAAGGAGATGGAAATCATCCACAGTTTCTTGCTAAAAAACATGTGGTAGTGATACTAATTTGCCCAGGTAAACTCTATATTCAGCAGCCCAATGAACAATACAATATGTGACAGAGAATCCTGCTTCTGAACTTTCATTTATTTTAGGATTAAGTCAACAGATATTAAGGACAGAATCAAACAACTCAGGGTGATGAAAGGTCTACACTTTCACAGGGAGCTTAGCAAGGGCAGGAAACATCATAAGATTCATTACATATTAATTGATTGTCTAAAGTTTTAAATTCATATTATGGTCTCAAAAATTTATCACTTTTCATCTTCAAAGCATTCTCTGAATGTTCATTTTCTTTTATACAGCTGTTTTGTCTACCAAATACAAATAGTGCCATTTTTAAAGGCTAGAAAACAAAGACAAAAACTTAGTGCCCTTCTTGCAAGCTTTTCCTCCCAGAGACATTTCCAGTCACTTTATTAGCTTAATTAACCTCACGGATTTCACACAGGAATAAATGTCATGTCCAGGAGTCTGTCCAGCATAGCGATCATCCAGTCCTAAAAACTTAAGTTAGTCCCAGTATGTATCCTGTGACATATATAGATACTTACTTCCCATTCTCCAGACACCTGAGTCTGGGAATGTCAAAGATTCCACAAATAAATTTTTAACAAAAAAAAACCAACAACAACAACAAAAAAACCCAAACAAA